TTCAGCCTTCTTTTTTACTAATGGGTTGGGTTCTTTTACTTTAAAATTATTTTCTATGTTGTCGTACATGTTGAGCACGCCATTTTTCAATAAATTTGTTGTACTCTCTAGCTTTCTATTATTTTAGGGCAGTTCAATGGTCCATTTTCACATTGTGTATGCGTTTTCAGAATTCTCTTAATTGCTTTCTTTCTTTCTCTTCTCATCGTTTTTTGTTTTATTTTTGCTTGTAGCTCAATTCCTGCTTGCTTTTAGTGCCGTTGGTGTCGTGCCCTCTTGCTTCTGGTATCTGTGAGTTATTTGCTCAGAAAAAGAGCTGCTTTGGTTGTTCTCTGAGCATTTTATGGTGTATTTCTTGTCTATTCATTTTTCAGTGTGATTGTGCATTATACATGCAGTTGCTCTAATGGTATATGGTGCTTAGGCGTTCCACTAGGAACCAATCGCCTTCGTCGTGAGCTAGGCCGTCGATGTCTGATCGGCCGGAGATATTATGACTTCATGGCTGCTACTGCTACCAGAAAGGTTTTTGTAGTCAATCATCATACCTGCCAGGATAGACGTCCTGGTGGAGCATTAGTTTCTTTGATGTTTTATGTACTAGAGCTATGGTCGAGGCGTCGAGCGTTAATTTCTTGGCTATGTTATGTACTTTAGCTATGGCCGAAGGTTAATTTCTTGGGTGTTTTCTGTACTACAGCTAAATCTAGATGGTGTTTGTGTAAATTGAATGAATGATAGAGAAAAAAAAAAAAAACTGCCCCTTAAGGTGTCAAGTATCAACAGAACACCCCATCAATGTTCATACTTTTGCTGAAAAATGCCTCCTAAACTGCAAACAATATCATAAATTTTGTTTTTAAATGGAACCCAAATTTATATTTGTAAATTTGGTTACACAGGTGTGGATTTTGATTTTCTAGATTTACGTTGGGCCGCCACAGTAAACAGTAAAGGCGAGAGCATTAAAGGATATGTGGAATCTGGTAGTTGTAATCCCTGTTGACAAAGGGATGGGAGTTGCTACTGGTGGCAGTAATGGAAGTTCAAATGAGCTTCAGTGGCGAACTTGTTCCAGAGGAGAATTTGTTGGAGAAAACGCGTCAGGGTAAGAATGGAAGAATTCTCGCTGCTTTGTATGCTGTTATTTTATTGGAAACTATCTTTCCATTTCTTGACTAAAAAATCGACTCAGGTCCTCTTTTCTTTTTTCGGCAACCGGGTATTGCTTGAGCTAGCAGGAGTTGTACTTGTAATGCTCTAAATACTTGGATCGGTTGGATGTTTTAGTGCAGTTAGCATAAAATCAACCCCAATAACAATGGAAGTCATCTCTTTACCTGTTTTAGCAGTAAGTTGTGCTTTTTAAGTTTGTTTGCAACTTCTCATTATTGAATTTTTTGACTTGCTTTCTTTTTCTCTTTCTTTCTTTTTTGTGTTCTTTTATTTGCGCTAGACATGTAACGTTGTTCCAAAAAAAAAAATTAAAAATTCATCAGGTTGTGAATGTTTGTTTGTGTGTTTTTATATGTTTTGACTGTTCGAAATGTAGAATTAGTAAATGCATTGAATTAGCATTGTGTTTGAATTTATTAACTTTGAAGGGGCTTTTATATATACATATATATTAAATTTGGTGTTTCTCTGTGTTATTTAGTCCATATATTTACATGGATATTGGTTGAAAAGGTTGAACTCAATAGCTCGACATTTCAAATAAATAAGAACATTGAGGTGTACTTGTTCAGTGGGTCTCGCTTACTCACCTTGTCAAACAATATAAGGATTCGCTGATGTGTTAGAAATATAGTTTAGCACTGTGACTGGTTCTATTATGCTTGTTCAATTTTATGCTGAACAATAAAATAAAAAGCTTTTTAAACTTTTCAAAAATCAAGATGATTTGTCTTGCCATATATCCAATTACTGGATTTGCAATTGAGAAAATTCACTATGTGATATTTGACAAATAAATACTAACACAAAAAGGTTAGATGTTTGTTCGGCGTTGAGGCCCCCATGAATATACATTTACCTATATTTGGGTGCCCCAAATACAACACATCATGGACAAGATTAATGTTGTTCATTGGGTGTTTGAGGAATTAAAATGTAAGTTCTATTACTTCTTACTTTTCTTTACTTCTTTCTTAGTGTTCAATTGAGTCTTTTGAGGAACATGGTGAATATTTCAGCGCCTCTGAGAACGGCGCAGAGTAAATCAGGAATTACCATGTTGTTGTCTCTAGCATACCTAAACGATGCCCATGTCGATATTGTGTGGCTCAATAGCTTAAAATACTAATCTCTATTGAAAACCCATAAATTTATTTATTTACTTGATATTTTGTCGTCCAAAACAATTAATCCTTTGAATGATCATGTAAGTAATATTTACTTGATACACCTCGAGTTAAAGATTACGAAGTAAATAATATTTTGGTTTGAGATTTGTCTTTCATGTTTGATTATGTAAATGTGTTGTTTTGTAGTCTTTCCAGCGTATATAATTGCCTATAAGTGTATTTTATGATATTATTCTTTTGCTCTTGCTTTATAGCTAATCGCATCGAAGTATTTTTTACGGAATCTTTCTCTTTGCTCTTGCTTACTATACCACACTATTATTTTCGTATACCTCGATTTAGCTGAGTTTTCTTTGTGGATTCATTATAAGGTTCTTTCAGTATATTTCAGTTTAAACTCATAATGGAAGTCTTTAAATTTGTATCAACCTTTAGATCGTAGACTTTTGTTGTTTTAAAAGTGATGAAAACCTTTATGAACTCCAATTTTTATGCTCTTTTTGTTTTCTTGGAGAAGAAAAATGATACTTTTAGTTCTTTTATTCAGTTTTCTTATGAAGATTGAAAATTTTTCTCCAAGTTTTAAGTTAGTCTAACTGGTTATATATCTTTGTTCTCATCATGTTCTTTAATCGAGGTAATAGTTTTAGTTTATATGGATGTTACTCTTTTGAACAATAAACATTCTTAACATGGGCTCAGATTACTCATAGTTGTTTTATCAATTTTTTTAGCGTAGTAAATAAATGTGCGCTCTTCAAACCGATGATCAATGGTGGAGGTGAAAATTGATCATAAGGCTTTGTTCAAGTTTTCCTTTATCATTTTAATAATTTTTTGGTTGGTTTGGTTGTGGTGCAATATCATGTGTTACAGTCTTACATGATTATGTGGACTGGCATTATCTATGTATTAGTATTCGAAAAACTAAACCTAAATTGGTTTCGGATGTATATGGTTTCTCTAAATAGTTAGTTGCATTCATTGTTTTCTTCTTCCTTTACCTTCAACCTCTGTCTCTCTCCAAGCCTGGGAATTATTAAATTTAAGCTAAAAATC